CTGTCAGTAAATGTGTGTGTATCTAAATCATTTAAAATCAGTGAATGTGTGTGTGTGTGTTTGTGAGTGATTGTGTGTGTGTGTGTGTGTCAGTGAATGTGGGTGGGTGTGTGCCTGTCTGTGAATCTATGTGTGTCTAAATTATTATGTGTGTACATCAGTGAGTGTGTGCGTGTCTGTCAGTGAATCAGTAGGAGTGAGTCTCTGTCAGATTGTGTCAAATCAGTGAGTGTGTGTGTATGTCAGTGTTTGTGAGAGGGTGTGCCTGTCAGTCAAAGTGTGTGTTAGTCTTTAACAAGAAGATTACAATATTATGTACACTACACAGTCTCTTTTTAAATAAAATTATTACCTCTAAAGCACGTCAAATCTAGCAACTTTTATGGAAAAAGGAGTTGCTAATGTATATTAACTAAAATCCAGGTTTATCTGGAAGAGATTTAGAGCGGCAGTCCACATAGTAAACTGGGATAAAAATATATGCAAACTTAATGCATATAACACTGCAACTGCTAATTCATTTGTCATAAATTCTACCTGCGGTCAGTTTGATTAGCTCAGTAAATAAATAAAATTGAAGACTGGAATCTTGTAAACTATAAACAAACATAAAATAAAACCTTACAAGCTGACATGGTCCTCTGATAAAAGCAACCTTTTATCAAGCTTCTCTTTTCCTTTTATTTTGGATGCTTTCTGTAAGTGTTATATTGTATAAACATTTATTTTTTTACATTATGGTGTGCATAATAGTTGTGATTATTCATAAATAGGTATCTGTGCATTATGGTGCTTTTCTGCTTTTATTTTGTGTAACACTGACATTACGCTTATAAAAAGACATACAAATGTATGTATTTCTCTTAAATCATATGAACAGGTACAACAGAATAATAATTTTCACTGCAGTGGCAAAGCTAGGTTCTGCAAGTAAGGGAGCAAGTGCATGAAACGGGCAATGCAGACACTGTGTACAACTATAAAATCCAGCAAGTATGTAATAATACTGGTGTATGTCTTTGAAATAATCCGTAGGTCTCATTGTGTCATATCATCTTTGTCATCTGTATGGTGATCTAGTGAGGTGATTGTGTCTGTTATTAACTCCAGATCTACCTCCAATACAGACCCATGATCTCTAGTGTAAAGTGTACCTAGGTCGAAGGCAAGTACATGCAAACCTTCCTAACCTTAAACCTCTTGGGCGGCCATAAAGTCTGTGGCATGCAGTCAGTGCACCTCTCAACCTGTCTCTATTAATTGCTGCCAGTAGTGGTTTGTCCATGGGAGCAGTTATAGCAGTTCCCCACCATGTAACTGTTGTCAAATATAATTGTAATCCCAGGCAAAACCATGAAACCAAATATTTCTGTCCATTGTAGTAATTTAATTTCTCATTCGAGATATTTCCATCCCCAAATCCACTGGGTGATTCCTCAGTACTCAAGACAAATACTGAACTGCACTTTCGTTTGGCTCCCCTTATAGCCTTCGGTCACTGATGGGGCCAACGAGTGTCTTCAACCATTGATGGAACATCTGCCAGCAAATTACCCGCATTCTGAACCCTAGCAAGATCTCTTTATTGCTAATATATGTTTCTGAAGCTTTTCCTCTTTATCTTGATCTAGGGGTGTTAGTGGTAATTGTACTATATTTTGGCATGCCTTACTCAAATACATGGCTCCACTTAATTATAGGCATTGAAACAGCTCCAAGCAAGATTCAATAATGTTGCATTATACCATTATAATGTAGGTATAGGAAATATGGGTGCACAGCATAACATTCTCCACCTCTATTAATATCAAAATTGCAATAAAATAAGGTAAATGCAATAATGACATAGGCTCACTTAAATTGAAAGTAATATAAAGTAACAACATCCTCAACAAAAGCCTATAATGTCTCATGTCTTGTGCACATGATTTTGATGATGTCTCACTCACATTGTCACAAGGTTACCACTGATGGCCATCAGCTGATGAGTGTGGTATTTAATTCCTTGCTGAGTTATTGATTAAATGCTTGTCCCTTGAGAAAAGCATCAGTGAATGCTGAAACAGAGATAGGATTTAAGTCATGGAGGTTTCAGTTATGTGGTAGTCTTTTGTTGACTGTTTTGTTATTTCATGGTACATTGAGCGTATATACGCCTATCTCACTATTGCAAATTTTGTGCATTAATAAAAGTGGTGTTTTTATGAATAACGTTTTGGTGTGCGTATTTATTTAACATTTTTATTATATATATATATATATATATATAATGGGAGATGCATTTTGCTTTTGGGGAGTGCATTAAAGCACTCTGTGTTTTAATCTTGAGATTAAGGTGAACAGTTTAATATTTTACTTATGAAATAAATATATATATTTTCCAATAATTTCCATCATTTTTAGCTTTTTTTCTGTGCTCCCCTACTTCAATATGTCAAGAGTACCTTTCATTATACATTATTCTTAGTAGCCTTTAACCTTTAACTCAAACACTATTTGTGAGTTAACTTCTTGACCACCTGAATTTATTCAACAGCCATTTCATACATTATTTTCTTCATAGCTTAGCTAGCCATCTATTCTACATGACCTCCTAAAATATTCTGAGGCCTACCTGCCACTTTCCAAAATGGTTACCAACTGTTGGTATGCCACTGAGTGTATGCAGAGGACATCTAGCTAAATAGCAAGCATGACAGGAAAGGAACCATAATAATTAGTAGATAAAACAAACACATCAGAATGCTATAAGATGGGAAATTAAAGGAACACCCCCCACACACAGCACTTTAGCTTGCTAGTACACTCCTGCCTCTCCGTCTTCTCAATGAGCAGTAGAACAACCGAGGAAAGATTATAATCTTATGCACGTCAAGGAGAAGTCTCTGATTGGAATAATACGTGGAACATACTTACTCTGTGTCTGGAAAAGAGAGGAGGGCTTTCCAAAAGCCACAGATGGCAATTCTGCAGCTTTTAAAAAAACAAAACAAACGTTTTTTAATATACTTTAACAGAAAACAAACAGAAAAAAATACATACATTTTTTGGGGGGGTATATATACTAAATTGCTAAACATAAAATAAAAATCAATGGAGTAGTCCTTTAAATGTGGGGAAAGTGAATGGAAGTTGTGGAAGAGGCAGATACATGGATGGACAACTGAGAATGGAATAGAAGCTAAACACACATAATCAAACATGTTAATTTTTATAGCATCAACATTTGCTATAAAACAAATTAGGCAAGCAAGAGAAAGAAGTTACAATGGCACAGCTCATGTTAGCCCACAGTGAGTTTCGAGTGAGTTTCGATTATGCAAAGGTAGAGTGCAACCTATCTAGGGAGAAAGACTGATTTTACGAGTACCAGTGATATACAACATTTACATAAAATAAAAGCACAACTGATTCTGCAGATTCAGAAGATAGAATTAGTTTATACCATTTAGTGAAATGTAATACTGCGATTACATGTTTAGGTGATACGCTCCTTTAAGACAAGTCTCAAAATCCAGACACGAGTTTGAAATCCAATGATGAGGGCATCCTTGGAAGGACTATTTTGGGGGACTCCCAAATGGACAATGGAAGAATAGGTTAGTTACTACCGGACTGGTTTATTAAGACTCCATCATTATTCTAACCCTTTAATCCTCTCTTGTAGCTTTCCCTGCTACCCACACTGTGCCAGCCTGCATACTTTGATAATAAAGTTTCAGCCTACATGTAAGGCTAAAAGGGAGAGCCAGGAGACAAAGCTTCTATCCAGCTTTCTTTTCTGTGGACCCTCATATCTTCTTTGCATATCCCACATCTATGTATGTAGCCCTATTTTGGATAATATGGGTCATTCTTTTAATGCAACTTGTTCAGGTTTCATGGGTTGTGGGCCATCTTGATATCTGCAGGACTGACAGAGAGACCATGTCATTATCATCACTGTTCCATTCATTTGAGTGAGTTCACTTGCAAGTAGAAAACACTTCACCTACCTCCCTGCTCTATAACATCATGCCTGGGTCAGCTCACCCACTGCAAATGCTGACATGTGACATATGAAGATAGACATTGGGATTTCTGTGGGTAGTTGCTGTCAAGCAGTGAATTGAAACAGCAGTCAGACAGAAAAAATAGCCCAGAAAAGGAAGATCGTTGAAGGCATGGAAGTAATATTTTACATTCAAGTGGCATTTTAGGAAGTCCAGGGATGGTATCACTGTAATTACAAATGCCGATTAAGAATGTGGTTGTTTTTATGCATCTATTCTTTAACATCTACTGTATGTGATAATATGTCGGATCCTATGTTAATATTTCAGATCATGATTCAAAGATTGCAAGGCAAGGGACAGCTTATGAACTCTAAAAGTTTTATTCCTACATTTTTTTTCTTTAAAAGATGAATAAAATGCATTTATATCACTGTACATATTTTTTTGTAAAATTTATTTTAGGTATCTCTAAGCAGCAATCCACACAAAACATGATATTTTACCTATAGTCACCTGTTAGCTATGCATTCCATGTCCCAAATCAATGTAATTCTATTTGTTTAAGAACTTGGCAATGAAGGAGTTAATCCCTATCTTTCATAAGAAACAAAAACTGTGAGACCCAAGCGTAAAGGGGTTATCTAAACTATGCTAAAATGTATGATTATGTTTAAATATATATGTACAATCACAGGTATTTACAGGCAAAAAAATAAAAATAAATAATTAAGCTATGCACAGATTGCATGCATTAAATGCAACACATATCCCCACTTCTATATTAGGCTGCCCTCCACATGTAAAGACATGTACAGACACACATACTTGTATGGGTTTTAACATTTATTTTTTCCTTTGCATAACAATGACCACCAGTGTGGACTTTAGCATTCAGCATCTGTGATGATAATAATAAGCATGAGGAGAGCATTGCAGTCAGCATCCTCTCTCCTCAGCACCATTCTGCCTGTACTTATCCCCTCCTCCCCAACAGCAGCATCAGCACCAGAGAGAAGCATCTCTATTGACTGGAAGCTTTAAACAAATTCACACAGGCAGCTGCTTGCGAGAACCCAAAGGCAGGGAAGAGGGCTGTCTAAAAGTTGTGGGGGCTCCTGTTATGTTCTGCCCAATTTATTGGCTGTGTCTGTCATATAGCAGTACTAGGAACAACAGCAATAGCAGCACGGGCACCAGCTTCATTTCCTCTCTCTCTCCTCCAGTCTAAAATCACCACCTCCTCTCCCTCCAGGTGGAAGCAGCTCACTTGGGTTTCCCATTATAGGATTTCTCCCCCACTGCTCCAGCACCTCATCTCCCTGCTCTTACCCCCCAGCATCCTACCTACTCCCATCCACTCATCCCACCTCCTCTGCCTGCAAGTCAGCCTGAGTCACGTGTCAGTGCCAGCGGCAAGAACAGAAACAGGAGCTGCTCCTTCCTTGTCTTACAGCCATACTGTATTTTACTGCTAAAAGCTCATTTTTATTCCAACATTTTACTCCCGTTCGGTGAGTACCTTATTGGTGACATTCTTGTCTTTTTTTTTTTTTTTTTATTCTGGGCTTTTTTGTTTTTGTTTCGTTTTTCTTCTTCTTATTTTTTTTTTAACTTCTTTGCTGATTGTTTAAGATGGGAGCTGGAGCATGGTTTTTATCCCTGAGTCCAAGTTTTTCTAGCAGGCTGGGTACTATAGAGAGGTACTGGTTCTGGGACTTGCTGGGGGACACCAACTGCTCCAAATATGCAACTGGTTTTATTCATTGACAATGTGAAGCTGATGCATTATTGTCTCTCTCTATTTTTTATTTTTATTTTTTTTGTATCCAAAGCATGTATGTAAACTCTTGATTCCCTTTTCTGCATTGTCTTTTTTATATACCTGAGATTTGAAATGCATTTCAATGTTTCAAAGAGTTTGTGTTTTTACAGTGTCTGGTGCAAGATATTAATTTTCTTTTTCTTTTCTTGAACCCTGACAAAAGCACCGTTGTTTTTTTATTTTTTATTTTTTTTTATTCTCCTAAAAAAAAATCTATTTAAACCCTTACACAAGATGACAACTTTTTCTTATAGTTGTGATCATCTTTTTTATTCTTTTTTTTTTTTTTTATTCTTTTTTTTCTCCCCACCCCATCCAATTGTCATTGACTTCTGCATCTTTTATTTTCTCCTCTCCTAAAAAATATTTTCTGGTATTAAAAAAAAAAAAAAAAAGTAAATAAATAAAAAAAAAGAGCCTGGAGAAAAATATATTAATTGATACATGTATATATTTGTATACAAAAATTTCCAATTGATGGCAGTGGGAGGTATTTTTTTTCCTTTCTGAAAAATGAAGTGCGGTTTGGTTTCCTTGTCAACAGAAGATGAAATGAACATCTGAGCCATTCACAGTCCAGGTACTCCATCTATTGTAGGCTACTGTTTGCAATCACAGGAGCAAGAACTACACTTGCTGTTGCACTATATTTGGGATATATCTCTCTAAATGAATATAGTAAAGTGATATTTTTGCTGTGTGTGTGTGTATTGATAGATGTATTGGTGTCTGTGTGTGTATTGATAGATGTATTGGTAGATTGATAGCATTGATAGATATATTGGTAGACTGATAAACACACACACAAACACACACACACATGTAGTAACAGAAAACAAACAGTTAATGTTTCATTAATCAATGTTCTATGATACTGAGACATTTTCAAAGTGGGAGGTCTAAGTTTGATTGAAAAAAAAATGTTTACTTGTAACCAATGTTTGTTTACTTCCAGTCTTGGGAAATGTGGATTAGCAATTGAGCAGAGCAATAGCACAAGTTAAATCCTTTAAACACCAAAGAGTTGAGCAACACTTAACTATGTATTTCTCAGCCCACTGGTGCTCAAAGGTATTCAACTGAAGGGATGACCAAATGGACCATAGGTTTGCAATTTATGACTCTGATGACCACTAATATTCTGCATAGCTAATCATATAAATATTCTGCACAGCTAATCATATGTGAAGCAGAATGTAATGGTTATACCATAAGAGTGTGTCTGAAGTTCTTGTGATTTTATAAATCCAGTTTGGGGGGGGGGCAATTAATAATGTCTCTGCATCTTGTGGCATAGGGAGTTACAGCTTTATAATATCAGAATGCATCTGTGGTTTAGTCAAAGTAAACCCTTTGTGGTTATTCAAAGTAAAGCTTTTGTTAAATCACCCAGTGACAGCTTCATTTACACCTGCTTTGTCAAGCCTGATGATTTCAATATTATGCTGAAACTGTTGAAATTGTGTCTGCTTTAACAAAGGCAGCTGACTGAGAATGCTTTTTTATTTTTTGCATGGACATCTTTGCAAGTGCATATATCTGCCTACAACGGATTTTGGATTATTCATTTCTATGTTTCTATTTTTATGCTTTTTTTCCCCCTGTCAAACTATACACAGTAGAACTATAAACCAGTATTGTAAAAATAATGTATTGCCGTGCTGCAAAATGCCATGTTGCAATATATCCTGTTCAATGTGTGATTTCTAATTACCTATTATTTAGGTTTGAGTTTATTGTTTGAGGTTGAAAATACAAGTGTATTACAAGCAACAAGTCAAAAAACAAAAAACAAAGACTGATGCTTCGTTTTCGGATTAAACCCCACCTGCCTTACTGTATAGGAAACACTTTCTGCTGTTGTAAATAATCACTCAACAGAAAAGTAAAGTTGCCCCAGGCTGGGTAGAGCAGAAATAGAATGTCTGACACACTTTGTCTACTTAAGAGGTTGAATTATGATCTGAATCCTTCGGTATTACAGGTACCCACATAGCGTAGACTTTGGTAATGGCTGTTTGGATTATTAATATTTGAGTCGTCATATCACTGTAAAAATGAAAACATGCATAGTGCTTTGGTAGAAAATCTACATTTTTATCTTCATTCCTTCTTTGATCTTGCTATTTTTATTATTGGCGATAACACAGTATGCTTGTTTAGTGAATTACAATATATATAATAATTTGAGTTAGTTGCTTAATTTAGGCGATTGTATTTAACACTTATGACTGTCAATTGGTTTACATTGTTAATCCAGGTGTCATGGAAGACACCTCCCGGGCCTCACGATAACTCAGTCTGTTGGTTACCTTATCATATTCGTCATGTGTAGATTGATTGCGAAAAAGTGGAAAAATTGCAGTTTCTTTTTAACTAAGTCATGCTTTTAATTTTGTAATGAATGTAATTTTGCTAATTATGTAAATCCGATCGCACTAATCAAGGCTAACTAGTCATTGAACGTACAAACTGCCTCTCACTATATCGTTATATGCTGGTTTTAACCATGCAAGGGTTAATATTGCTTTGAGAAGGACGGAAATATGACAAGTGCATAATATAGGTATCGTCATTGCAGATCTTCATCTATATGTGGACTGCTATATTTGTGACACAATTCATCTCAATAACAGCTGAGCAAATTATCATGACCCAGCGGAGTCACAAAGCACTAACACACTAATAACTGAGTATTATGTAGTAGAATAAGTCAGGTTAAGGGTAAAACGACTACGAATCAAAAGATGAAGGTCAGTCATCCCTAAAGCAGGTAGTGCAGTTTTTAGCTCTGCAGTAAAATTATTTCTTACTGCATCTATAGAAAGTAATATTTGTTTCCATCAAAGAAAACCTAATTTACTAAAACCTTGACTGTGTGCAGTATATGTACATTAATTGCCTGGCCGTTTAATACTTTTATTTTGTATTTTATTTAATATAGTAGTTTAGACAACCATTTCTTGCGAGATGATATGCAGTACTGTCCTTCATTTGCATTGTATCTTGAAGTGCATTTTTGATAGTACTTTCAGCTATTTTCGGTGCCATAGTGTATGTTAATCCAAACGTAATTGGATTAGGCTTCTAGTTTTGCAACTTTGAATAAATGAATTGCATTCTACAGGGTATGACTATAATTAATGCTGTGTATGAAACAGCACTGACAACAATATATGCTTGTTTATAGTGGTTATACAAATGTTTTGCATATTTTTATTTCAGACTCACTCATCTGCTTTCAAAATAAAACCTTTTCAAATGTAGTTTGCATTATTTTCTTTGTGCAAAAAAATAGTTTTTGTACTGCAGAGCTGAAATGTCCTATACTTTATATCTGTCACAAATTTCTGGACATCGTTCATCATAAACCCATTTATCTGTATGGTAGTTTTGTTCTTTCTTTCTTTTATATACACAGTAGATTTTGGGGAACTTGCATTGGAGAGAGCCCATTATTTTGCCCTTGGTTACTGCTACCCTTTTGATATCTGTAGTTTTAAATTCTTAAACCTCAACGTGGAATCACCAAATGCCTAGCTCCAAGCCTGTGAAAGGAAGAGAAAAACAGCATGCTGTCATATTTTGTAACATTTATTAACTGTGTTCTAGAGTCTATGGCACATGTTTCACATTTCAGACGGAGGCATGTCAAGAAGGTAGGGTAAGAAGAAAAATGAAAAATGCTTTAGGCTAAAAATTGGTTTATGAAAAAAATGATAGACAGAAGACAACTTTAATGAGACTGCAGGAGTTGTAGTAAAGCAATAAAACAAGGTTAGAACATTACAGAGGTGCACTCAAGAATTGCTCTAGTTTGGTCATGGTTAACCTTCATACTTCTAGACTGACTGATCGTCATGAAAACTGTAGTTCCTTAAGATCAGGAGTGCTGAGGGTAGTCATAACTACTTTATTCATATGGTTTTCTAGGAAATAATAAGCCTTAATGGTTTGAAAGGTAACTAGACAGAGTGCTGTTAGCTGTACACTCAGATTTGATACACATACATGCCATTTCACTAAGACATACAATGGAGCTCATTTTTTTAAAGGAACACTCTAGTGTTAGAAATAAAAACATGTATTCCTAACCCTAGAGTTTTATACTAACTATTTAGATTATTGCCCCTTGCCTCCCAGAAAATAAATAAATATACTTCCCTTATTTCTCCACCACACTTCGTCTGGCTTCGATGATCACTGGAGGCTAGTGCACATGCTAAGACCTTGACTCATTGAATCTCTATGCAAAATGTCTCAATGTTGAGTGCAGTCTTTGCATGACCGCAACTAGGAAGTCCCTCTAGTGGCTGTTAGAGGTGGCATCAGGCAGCAATTTTAGACACTGTTTACACTGCTGAGACTACATGGTCGGGCTTTTACTGTAGTGGATAAAGTGCTCAGAGTGTTCCTTTAATGTGTACAATTTAACAATTTAAATGGATGGCTGCACCATATCCATTGACACATGCAGGAATAAATTAGAATAAAGATACAACACATGTTTGTGAAGTATATTTGCTGTGTTTTACATGAGTCTGCTTGTCTGTGTCTGTGAGGACAAGATCTGTCATGTTAATTCTTTCCCCAACATAAGCCTGTTTTGTAACAAATATGCTTCGATACACCTTTCCTGGCTCCGTTTTGCACTTATGCCACAGATTGGAACACTGCGAAAATGAATAAT